AATAAAAATTTCTTGTGTTCATATGTGCACAAATTTTTTTTTGCAGATCATAAGATCGACGAATTTCCAACACTGCTCCTGAGTCATATCCCGATTTCTTAAGTACTGAAAAAACAGCAACTCTTATTCGTTCATCCCCAGCAACATGGAAAACTACCACCCTAAGAGAAATTATTATGACTTCAAAATCTAAGGTAAATAATACTTCTTTATTACCATGTTATATCTGGATCTCTTATCGAAAATCTCTTAGTAATGAATCAAAAACAAAACTTGATGAGTTAAGAGCATCAGGATTCCGAATTTGCAATTATCAAAATGTGCAAGGAGACTTATCTATAAACGAATGGGACATTATTATAGTACAAGTTGAGAGTCTTTTCCGCATTAAATTTACAATCCGACCATTTGTAGCTATTCTGGATGAGATCAATGCGATTATGCGACAAATGAATAGTGGCGCAAATGCACGAGAATCTGAGAACGCAATGCGTGATGTATTAAGATCGGCTCAGCATATTTTAGCGATGGATGCATTTGCAAATGAAAGTACACTAACCTTCCTTAAGGCTTATTGTGGTGAAAATGTCCGAGTGATAGATAATAAGTATCAGCCTCGTATAGGTGAAATAGTTGAAATTCTCTATGATCCAAATAGTGGGGCCGAAGCTATGCGAATAGGATATGAATTTTTGAAGCAGGGAAAACGTGTGGCTTTTGTATCAACTGGGGCAGTAATGGCTAGAGCATTAGTAGAAAGAGCATCTAAATTAACAAAACCAGATAACTCACCTATCAAAGCCCGTGCTTATTATGGAGATATGGATGGAAAACAACGTCAAAAGGATTTTTCTGATATCAATACTGCTTGGGGTGAACTTGACTGTATAGCTTATACAAATACAGTGGAAGCAGGTATATCTTTTGATGTTACAGGTCATTTTGATATAGTTATAGCTATCACGAATATCGCAACTCCAGTTCATGTTGAAGCACTTGCCCAAATGCTTTATCGAATCCGTGATTGTCCTCGTCGTATTGTTTCAGTGTTCTATCAGAAAAATTCTAATGAACTTTTTCTTCCCCCAGGTCGTGAAAATATTCGTGCAGAACTTGCGAGTGCTCGGCCTAATGATTTGCCAACAGCAATAAAGGGACACCGTGAGTGGGATAGCAATGCCATTTCTTATAAAATTGACGAATCTCCAGCCGTACTAACATTTATCGAAGTTGAGCATCAGAAACGCCTTTCTGCAAGATATTTTATTGAGAAGCTTTGCAGTCTTATAGCCAGTACTGGCTCTTCTCTCCAACTAATAAAAATGGATGTGAGCCGAGGAATTATAGGAAATCGTAAAAAAGTTCGTAATGAGATTAAGGCTGAAGCTTTAGTTATCAAGGATACAGATTTTGATGCAGTCGCCACTTCTCGAAATCTTAGTCCTGAAGAAGCAGAGTTTCTTAAGCTTGATCAAGAACGTTCTGTTGAAGATACGATGGCACTTAAGCGTTTTTATATATGGAACCTTTATGGTGGAAAGGATATGAATATCGAGGATTGGAATAAACTCTGCGACAAAAAATTTGTCAAACACTTTGGTCTACCTGAGCCTCGAAAGCATTTCTTACGACTGTCTCAATTCCGAAGACAGGGTTATGATGAAGAGAGTGCTATAGAAGGGTTAAAAGCTAAGGACTTCGCACAATGGGAGGACACCTGTTATAAAGCTAAAGATAATTTTGAAAAATCAGTAGCGGAGGACTTGCGTAAAACTTATTCAGCAAATCACTGGAAGGTTATAAGAGAACTCTTTCAAGTACTGGGCTTTACTGGTATAGATGATAAACGTATCCTTCCTGGCAATATTGTATCAGAAGCATTCACACAATCCTGTGAAAAATTTATAGAAATTCGAAATCAATCCTTATTGCTCTTTGGCTTTAAGTCTCGTGCAAAAGAAATACCAGATCTTAAATCAGCTATAAAGGCAATTAATGCAATTGTTGGTAATTGGTGTGGTTATACTATAAATAGTGAACGGAAATTGGTAGGATCTAAAGAAAAAAGAGTTTGGAAATATTCATACCAGATTAATCGAAAGCCATATGAAGGGCGTGGTTTTGATGATCAAAAAGAAGTAATGGCTAGAAAGGTAGATAATCCTGAATATGTCTCTATAAATCCGATTCTTCCATCATATAAGCCAAAGATGATTGACACGGTTCAAGATCTTTTCGATTCTATACCTATCACTAATACTACTTCAGAATATGCAGAACACAAAGTTTCTAACTTATCTAGTAATGCGATTGATGAAAACGATTTACCTTTAGAAATGCCAGCTCATAATCAATCTACTGGTCTTACCCAAGATAGATGCCATGTTGATACTATTATTAGTAAAATTAGTACAATTGAGAAAAAAATACCCGAATCCTTAATTTCTCTATCTTCAGAATTTCTTATTAAAAATGAAGCACTGGGCTTTACTGGTATAGATGATAAACGTATCCTTCCTGGCAATATTGTATCAGAAGCATTCATACAATCCTGTGAAAAATTTATAGAAATTCGAAATCAATCCTTATTGCTCTTTGGCTTTAAGTCTCGTGCAAAAGAAATACCAGATCTTAAATCAGCTATAAAGGCAATTAATGCAATTGTTGGTAATTGGTGTGGTTATACTATAAAAAGTGAACGGAAATTGGTAGGATCTAAAGAAAAAAGAGTTTGGAAATATTCATATCAGATTAATCGAAAGCCATATGAAGGGCGTGGTTTTGATGATCAAAAAGAAGTAATGGCTAGAAAGGTAGATAATCCTGAATATGTCTCTATAAATCCGATTCTTCCATCATATAAGCCAAAGATGATTGACACGGTTCAAGATCTTTTCGATTCTATACCTATCACTAATACTACTTCAGAATATGCAGAACACAAAGTTTCTAACTTATCTAGTAATGCGATTGATGAAAACGATTTGCCTTTAGAAATGTCAGCTCATGATCAATCTACTGGTCTTTCCCAAGATAGATGCCATGTTGATACTATTATTAGTAAAATTAGTACAATTGAGAAAAAAATACCCGAATCCTTAATTTCTCTATCTTCAGAATTTCTTATTAAAAATGAAGCTGATATAGATACGCTTATCATTCTTTTACAGCAAAAATTCCAAATGTCTCAAGAAAGGCTAGAACAATGGAGAACCAAGATTGCTTTTGAATTGCGGGATAATCATAATTATTGGAAAAAAGAGCGCGAGAGCATGAATGAAACTGATTTCTTAGATTACAAGAAAAATTTCGAAGCTAAATTGGGTATTCCTACTACTCCGCACAAAAGAGAATTAAAAAACCGCACTTTAGCCCTTATTGAATATGCATAAAATCTAGCTAAGTAATAATCTCTGGTGGAGAGAAATTGTTACATTTAACTAGTCATTTATCTCAGGTAAGGGATGTTGCCTCTTACAATAAATGCTGGAAAAAATTCAAATCGAAAATTAATTCAGATCATAGGATAGGTAACTATAACCATTTTTGTGTTATGCGATTTTGGCATTGGAGCAGAATATTTAATCAAGAATATACAAAGGTAAAAGAAAATTGTACTTTTACGTATCATTAGGTAGATATCAAAAAAGTGATATGCAAAGGTTAGCAAAAAAATGATATATGAAAATTTTCAAAAAGTGGTATACAAAGGTTACAAAAAAAATGAGCTTTTACGTATCATTAAGTAGATATCAAAAAAGTGATATGTAAAGGTTTTCAAAATATGTGTCTTTGACTCTAGCTTCGCTATAATGCACATATGATATATAGTAATGCGATCCAATTTTTTGTCATAAAGCTAAAATTCTTAAAGATATTAACTATACAAGAAAGGCTTCGAAAACTGAAAAATATAGTAAACTTTTGGTGATACGCAAAGGCAGAATATTATAAGGAAAGAGGTAAGAAAAAATTTTGCTTTTACGTATCACCAAGTAATGATAACAATTCGGCACTACGTGCCTCATTCTAAGATAACATAATAGATAACGATTCGGCACTACGTGCCTCATCATCGGGTTACCAAATAGGATAACAATTCGGCACTACGTGCCTCATTCTAAGATAACATAATAGATAACGATTCGGCACTAC